GTTGTAAAATGCAGTTTAAAGAGGCAGGCCTCGTATCCTGAAGCGTTTATAGGAAGGATTGCATAGTTTTACCTGGCTTCCCTCGAGGTTGGCAGAAATTAGCTTTCCCTGAGCTGGCATCTTCCCGAGCTAGCGTGCTTCTCCTATGGGGTGTGCGGCCTTCTGTCCTGTCTTCTTGAGGCAGAGCTTCAGTCTAGAAACTGTTCACAAACTGTGAACAAATGCAACAAACAGTAAACAGTCTTTTGCTCATAGTTAAGGTGCCTTGAATTGGGTGCGAGGGGCTGTTCTCAGGGGTGCTCTGCCCACGGCTGTGGCCCACTGCTGCAGGTGGACATCATATGGGTGGTCTTTGTGGAATGCCATCAGTGCTAGCTTAGTAATTCCTAAATGGGAGCTGGAGGGCTGCAGCGCTCAACACTGGATTATACAAATGTGGATTGTCCAGGAAATGCTTTTGATCCCACTCATCCACTCTCTACTCACGTGACCCACCTCTCCCTCTTTACTTGGTGTTTACTCATGAATGTGGGTGAGTTGTCGTGTTAGCCTAGAATAGCCGTTCCCAAACTTTGATGGAAGGATGCCATTCACTTTGAAAATTATTGAGTAGCCCAGAGAGCTTTTGTTTCCATGGATAATTCCTATCAATATTTACCAAATTCGCAATTAATTAAAACTGAGATTAGTATTTATTTGATTCCTGTTTATTTTTACATAGCAATAATAAACTTGTACATATAAAAAATTGTAAAAAATGACTGTTTTCCAAAATAAAATTAGTTAGAAGTGTGACATTTTTTTTACATTAAAAAAATCTCTTTAATGTCTGATTTAATAGAATCGGCTGAATTTTATTTGCTTCATTCATTCTGTTGTGCTTGTTATTTGAAGCATATAAACAAAAAGCTGACCTTGCACAGATCTATAGTTGGAAAAGTCGGGGGAGGACCTCATGGACCCCTAAAAGCATCTCAGAGACCTCCAGGGCTCCTCAGACTGACCAAACATTTAGAACTATTGACCTGGAAGAATGTAAAACAGGAAAACAATGTCTACCCCAATAGAATTTGGTGTAAAACATGGACTGTGTTACAAAGTCAGATGGGTGCAGTTGTCCTGCTTAACCGCTAGTCAGGAGCTGAAGGCCAGAGACTCACGGCTGTTCCCCAGCCTGGTAGTGAACTCAGAGGCCTGTCTTGCTGTATGGTGGGACAGGAAATTGCATTTGGGAGTCTCATAGAACACACTGGAAGATGTGTTTCAGCTTGGCCAGGTTCGTGCAGGACAGGTTTTCTGCATGAAGAAAATCAATGACAGTTTCTGAAACTGCACCCTGGAAGCCTTGACCAGTTTGGGTAATAACAAGAGATTTGAAAGTGTGGGGTGTACAGGTGTTTTGCTGAATCTAGGTGGTGGTGGGTGATTATTATTATTTGGAATTCAGCTTTCAGTTCTACCTGTCTGTGAGTTCCAAATTTTGTGAAAATTAGTTGCTTAGACAAAACTTTTCTTTGCCTCTGGAAGGCTGTCAGAAAGCGAGATTTCCGGCTTATGTGCAATGTTATAGTTTAGTAACGGCTTTGCAAAGTTGTTCCTTTACCTTAAATGTAACTTATTTTGCATTTGTGCTACAGAACTGTCAGAAGTGTGCCCTTTTGTCCTCTTGTTTGGAAACTGGGTTTTTATAATGTGTGTGGTGTATCTGAAGATTATTGCCTATTATTGAACACCATTCATAGCAACCATTTGCCTTAGGCATTGTACACGTACTCTCCACTCTGCAAACTGTGTGTTCTGCCCCTTTTTAAAAAGAGGAAGCTAAGGTTCAGAGAAGCTAGGTAGTCCATTCTGAGCTTCATGTGCCAGAGGCCATTTTGTACTTACTTCAAATGCCATTGAAATAAATGCACATCAGAGAGTTGTTCTTAGCATAAGGGGTACTACTACATGTAACTTTTTACTAGCGAAATGGATGATGTTCAAGAGCTGTGGTTGATGAGAAAGGTGTCCAAACCCTGGCACCAGGGACTCTGGAGCAGAACTTGAGGCCAGTGCCTGTCGGGCCTGGGTCCCCACACTCCGTCTATGTGACCTGACTATGGGTGGCCTGGCTCTGCCATTAGACTGCCACGGTGCCCTCCTCTGGTTGAACCTTTCTTGAGAAGTGCTTGTTGGAGGCCTGAGTGCAGAGCCTGTGAGAAGCCCTATGTGGTTCCTGTTGCCTGTCAGCTTGCTGGTAAAGGTCATAGGTTTGGCAGAATTTGGCCCGAGGTTTGCTTTCTCATAACGTACCACTCAGTAGCAAGGTTGGGAGGAAGGTGGCTATAGCTATTTCTGGAAGCTGCTTAGGGAGCTGCCTCTCCCTAAATTGGTACATAATTTGCAGGGCCTGTTGCAAGATGAAAATGCAGAACCCCTTCTTGAAAAATTATTAGGAATTTCAAGACAGAGACAACAGAGCATGAAGCCTTGTGCGAGGTCCTTCTAAGCACAGAGCCAGTGTGACTGCACAGAACACACCCATGAAGCCAGCTCTGCCCCCACCATCTGACCACTCTTAAGTGGCCAGTTAGCATAGGTCACTCCTCAGCCTGCTAGGCCCACACCCTTAGGGATGTTGTGAGGCTTAAATAAGAAATAGCCACTTTACAAGCAGGGTCAATTAGTGTGGGCTCTGGTTTCTGTGTGAGGTAGTTTGCTAACATGAGAGGGTATCTGATTAGCTAAAATGATAACACTGACAGATCAAATTCAAAATAACTAAATCTTCCCCGTGTTCCTTTATGCCACATGACTCCTGCATCTTTTGCTACCAGCACCTATTTGATACCAGAGGGGAGGGGGTCCATTCAGGATGGGACAGGAGCGTCAGCAAAAATGCAGAGGTGGGGAAGTGCTCCATCTTCTTGGAAACCAAGCTGGCAAGGGTAATGGAATGAAAGAGATCATGGATATTTTTGAGACTATGAGGAAATCAATACGCTGGTGTTGCCCAGTGCAGAAGCCATATGTGGCTATTAAGCACTTGAGATGTGGCTGCTCCAAATTGAGATGTGCTGTCCATGTAAAGAACACACTGGATTTCAAAGACTTGCCATGAAAAAAGAATGCATAATGTCTCAGTACTTTTATATTGATTATGTTGACGTGATAATATTTCCTATATGTTGGGTTTAATAAAATATCTAATTAAAATTAACTTCACCTGTTACTTTCTAATGTGGCTGCTAGAAACTGTTACATCCTGCATGGGGTTCACATTCCAGTTCAGTTGCATGTGCTGCTACCGATTGTTCTACTTACACACACACACACACACACACACACACACTTCTGCACACAACCCAGAGGGGTCAGAGACCCCAGGAGCCCCCGCTTCTAGTGCCTAGGCTAAGCCTTGGAGTAGAAGATAAAGCTGGGAGGGTGGGTGAGGAGGTGAGTGCACGGAGCTCCAGGCTAACAGAGTGGAACATTTGTTCTTTGAGCACTGGGGAGCTATGGATTGCTTACTAGCAGCAAGGTGACTTGTGCAGGGTATATCAGGGAGATTTGTTGGGGGAAGAGGTAGAGGCGGCAGGAAGTGAATACAGAACGAGAAATCAGGACAGTGGTTAGGGGACTGTTGCCTTCCTCTTGAATCAAGTTCACATAACACATCTGGACTGATGAAACTCTTTCTCAGGAAGCTGAGGAAAAGCCCATGAAAGTATGTTCCTCCCTGTGCTGAGACCAAGTAGTTGCAATGAACAATTAACATGTGACCCAGATGCACCTTTTGCCTTGGCTGATCCAAGCAGGTTCATAATTCTCGCCTGGGCCCACGGTTGGCCCTGGCTGCCAGCTGCCTGGCTCCAGACCTTTCTTCTCTTAATCGTTTCAAGTACTTCTCTGCTCCCTGGAAACAGGCACTCCCATCAGTCACGTTCCAGAGGAGGGGAAGAGGAACTTGACAAGTATCAGCTACAAAAGCCTCCTGGACAAAAGAAGTCCTTTAAGACCTATATGAATACCAGTTTTTTGTGAAAATAATCATGATGTTGAGAGCCTTTTTTTTTTTTTTTAACTCTTTTTGGAAGGTAACTTTTGAGAAAAGAAAACACCTGCTGCTCCTCAGGCTGTTTCAAAACACTGCCTATGGTTTGAAAGTTCAGAGATATGCATGTGGTGTGAAGCATTTGCAGGCATAATATGTGTAGTCTGGGAAAAGCAGACCCAGAGAGTGTTTGTAGCAAGGCGAGGCCTTTTAGCTGCATTTAGATGATGCTGGGATTGGGGTGGGCACGGGGTGCAGCGGTGGGGAGGAAGAACTGTGTGTGTTCCTCTTGAGAATAGAGGTTATGTCGAGAGGATTAACAGTTTTTTTGTTTTTGTTGTTGTTGTTGTTTTTTGTTTTTTTTTTTTTTGAGACGGAGTTGCGCTCTAGTCGCCCAGGCTGTAGTGCAATGGCGTTATCTCAGCTCACTGCCGTCTCTGCCTCCCAGGTTCAAGCGATTCTCCTGCCTCAGCCTCCCGAGTAGCTGGAATTACAGGTACCCGCCACCATGCCTGGCTAATTGTTTGTATTTTTAGTAGAGACAGGGTTTCGCCATGTTGGGCAGGCTGGTCTCGAACTCCTGACCTCAGGTGATCCTCCCGCCTCGGCCTCCCAAAGTGCTGGGATTACAGGCATGAGCCACCGTGCCTGGCCAACAGTTTTCTTTTTTTGATTGAAGTTCAGCTATTTGCAGGACCAAAGGTAGTTCTAATTACTTTCACCTGTACCTCCACCAAAAAAAGAAATAAACCAACCATGAATAATTGCTGATTTTTAATTGAAAGCATTATTCCAGGAACAACTGGTTGACCTTGTTTGCAGAGGAAGTGGTGAAGACTGATTGATATGACGATCCAGCTTCTAAAGATTTTGCTGCTTAATCTGAAGCACATTGGATTTCTGTTTCGATAGGCTTTCTTTTTTTTGTTTTTATTATTACAACTAATATGTATTCTTTTCACAGGGCGAACCTTTCCTACACACCCATACTTCTCTGCCCAGCTTGGAGCAGGACAGCTGTCGCTTTACAACATTTTGAAGGCCTACTCACTTCTAGACCAGGAAGTAGGATATTGCCAAGGTCTCAGCTTTGTAGCAGGCATTTTGCTTCTTCATATGAGCGAGGAAGAGGCGTTTAAAATGCTCAAGTTTCTGATGTTTGATGTGGGGCTGCGGAAACAGTATCGGCCAGACATGATTATTTTACAGGTATAGAGCATTCCTTATGTCTTTAATACAACAAAATGCTAAGAGTGTTTCTTATCCCTCTTCAGATATGCCTCAGGAACTTTTTCACCGTCGGGTAACATTGTAATAGCTGTCACTGCTGATAAAGGACTCCGTGCTAGGCGTTATTCCAAGCGCTTCATCTGCACTTCCCTCTAATAACATAACAGGCAGACACTGTTCATTGTTTCAGTTTGTAGATTGGAAAACGGAGGCTCCAAGAGATTATAAATTGGTCCCAGTCACACAGCTAGCAAGTGTCAGAGCCGGACTGGAAACCCAGACCTCTCTGACTTTAGGGCCTTCCCTCTTTCCCCCATCAGCCATGAGATGATTTCACTACCACCTCCCAGCCTCTGCATCTGCTCTTCCTCTGCCTCACCCCCACCCTTGTCATCTCAGGTTCAGCTCAAATATCGCATCCTGGGAGAAGCTCATTCTGACTACCCTGATGTTGTGTTCCCCACTTCCACCCTGGGCACACTACGTCGCATTATCCTGGCTCATTTCTTTTGCACAACACAGCCACTGCCAGAAATGCTCTTGTTTCCAGAATCATCTACCTGTCTATTTTCTGATTTTCCAAAGCATGTGAACTTTAGGAGAGGGAAGGGATCTTTTATGGGTCTTGGAGCCAAGTCCCTAGTTTCTGAAACAGTGCCTGGGTTGAAGTAGGCACCCCATAAGTATTTGTTGAATGAATAGTTCTGTCAGAGAAAACCAAACGTAGTAGCGTATTCCAAGTACCATGTGCTGCTCTTGCTGCCTGTCAGAGGGAAAACTCTGGATCCTGCTTCAGGAATATTCCTAAATGTTGCAGCACGTGTTGATATGTTCGTTTACCAGTAAGATACTGTGCCTTTGGAGCTTTAGACAGTATCCTGGGAGGGAATACGTTAGAGCCAAGGACTTACTTTGAGAGTACCAAATTATGTGATTCAAAATCTTTTCACCTTGATCTGTGAACATGGACCACATGAATGCAAACACCATAGAAGGAAGTCAACTCATTCACTGAAAGATTTTGACCACATAACACTTTCCATCCGTACCGTGAGGTTCTTCCTACATTCCCTTTATTAACTTTAAAGACAGCGGTCACCAGGCAGTGGAATTTTCGAGTTTTCTATAATTTATGTAACACACAACTCTATTGGGGCTGGTGGCTTTGGTTGATTAGATTGTCTTCGATACGGGAGAGCCACAGCTGGTGCTTATGGGATTATATTATCTGAGCCTCTGAAAACGGTTTTGTTTTCTTTTTCTCAGTTTAGACAGGACATACCCAACTTGGTGGATCTTAGCAGGGTTCTGAGCCTCTGTAGGTTATTGTTTCTTTAGGCTTAGGCCATGGGACTGCTCAGATCTGGGCTGGCTCTTGGACCTCTGTGAGCCTGTAACTCTTGGTGGCACTGCTAGGAACTGGCATGAGCTTTCTGCCAGAATCATGTCATTCTGTGAAGTTGGATCCACTTTAGTTGGAAAAAGTTTTTATTTAATCTTAAGACGCACACTCGTCTTCTTATTTTAACTTGCCAGGGATCTGGATATTCCATATGTTATACACCAAAATAAATTATGGTTGTCCTGCCTATTGAGTAATTTCAGGGGTCCAGAGGGAATTTGCTGAGTGAACATGTACAGTGGACTCCTACGGAATCATAAAATGCCCCTAATTCAGTCTTAGTGAAGAGACTGGCTTCTTATTTCTAATTCCTCCGGGCTTGGGTTTTGCAAAGAGTGTGTATTTGTAGGAGAATTTATGAAATGTTTGCACAAGACAGATGTTTAGATCTTCTTAGCCAAGGAATACAAGGGAACAATAAAAAGGAAGTGACAGAAGAAGACCCAGTGTTAGCGTCCTGGGCCTACACCCAGCCAGTGCCTGGCATCAGCGGGCACTCGGGAAGCACTTGTTGGATGAATTAGTAGCTAAGCTCAGTGGATCACAAGCCAAATAGAATGTTGGAAGTTCTAGTAAGTCTTCTCTCACACCCACCCTGTGAGCAGTAGGCATAACTTTATCGCTATGGCAGATCCCTAATTCTCAGCCCCGTTGGCCGTCTTCCTGCAGATCCAGATGTACCAGCTCTCAAGGTTGCTTCATGATTACCACAGAGACCTCTACAATCACCTGGAGGAGCACGAGATCGGCCCCAGCCTCTACGCCGCCCCCTGGTTCCTCACCATGTTTGCCTCACAGTTCCCGCTGGGATTCGTAGCCAGAGTCTTTGGTGAGCATTAGTAAATCTGTTTGCCAGAACCAGCCTTCTCTTATTAGAGGGGAAACTTTTCCTGTCTGTCCGTGGTGATTCTTATTTTTATACCTGTAGCTCTTACCAGAACAGGGTATTGTTTAGTCTAAGATTAGTCAGGGGTGGGTTTTGTGACTTTGGAGTCCTCCTTAACTTCTGATAATCACGGGGCTTCCCTAGATGCCTTCATCTTGTGGGATGTGGATCTGAGCCCCTCACCATGAGGCTCTCCCTAGAGCAGACATTTGGAGGACTTGGCTGAGGAGCCGCAGGTGTATGTTTCTCATGTGCCTTCCTCAGCTGCTCTGGGTTGCGAGTGTTGATTGATGCTGACCGTGGGCCTCTGGGCTCTTTCTAGATTCCCTTGGCATCGCCTCCTCCCCTTTCTCTTCTTGCCCTGTCCTTGGCTCTGCATTTTCTCCCAAGTCACTCTCTTAGAGATCAGTGTCAGGACCTTGAGTAACACCTCCTTGTGGATGGCTCGCCCTCCCGCCTCAGCCTTGACACCTCACGAAGGCCTCCTGCCCCTGTGCCCACGTGTCACAGCCACTGCCACTCCCGTGTCCCGCTATTAACCTTAGGTGGTTCATGTGTAAAACCTGCCTTTATATTCTTGATTTACCTTTTGAGAACATTGTCAAAGTTAGGTGGGTGTTCATACACAAAGCCTTCAACCTGCCTTCATATGCAGGGATAGGGCTGTCCACGTGGATATCAGGAACCGAGTGGAATGTTGTGAGCACTGTCAGTTCGGGCACAGTTTGTTTTCTCTCCTTCAGAATAAAAGTGATATTTTTTGACAATTCAGATTTTTTTTTATTGTAAAGGAGGAGGTTACTAAAAAAAGATAGTTATTATATGTCAAGTGTTTTTAAGCATCACTTGACAGCTTAAAAACATGTGATCTTTAAAAAATTTGTTTTTAGGATTAGAGAGCATCTTAAGGGAAGTGTTCAAAGACATTGATACTACTTCAGGCATGCTTTGGGTAAACATCTTAAATATCCAAATTCTAGAAATCCTAAAATTTGCTTTTTAATATAAGTAGGCATTTACCCTTCTCTCTTTTCCTTTCCCCCAAAATACTAGATTTTTATTATTCACTTCTATCTACAAGAACCTTTAAAGAGTTTCCCATTTTGCTTTACTGTAAGAATTCATGTTCTTTCTTTTCTGTCCCTGAAAAAATAAAATCACTAAATTAAAATAGATACAAAAAGCTATCTCCTGGTTAAGCATATCTTTAGTGAGATTTCATGAAGGTTTATACCATAGTTTAAAAAAAAAAGATAACTAAAAGCCTCAAAATTGTGTGCTTAGTACAGACACTAAAATCTCAAGCTCTAGGCTTTAAGCTTTCTTGCCAATAACTTCTATGTTTTTGACTTTTCTAACCCTGGAAATTAAAAAGAAAATTATTAATCCACCTTCCTTACATTTTCTCCACATTTTAGCTATGATTTTCATATGGGGTCATGAAGAGGAGTGAGAATGGAAATGGGGAGGAGGGAGCGCTGTTTGTTAATGGTTTGTAAACAGCTCAGGCATTAAATTACTTGGTTAGTGAAGAAAATTCTACCAAGGCAACCGGGCTGACCACAGACTAGAGGGGCTGAGGGGTCATCCCTGAGTCATCCCTGCCCTGGGGCCCCAGGCACTGGAGCTGCTGCTTGCAGAAAGTTCTGGGGCTCTGGAAGAGAAATTTTTCCTTCGGCTCATAAATGGGTAAAAAGACATTAACAAACAAGCAAACTCCACTTTGGAAATGATAGCCCTTCTGTTGCAGAGTAATTTGAAGCTCTCTGAAGCTCACTCTAATGATTTCATAAATCAAAGCTGCAGCCTGTAAAGGTAAGATATTTTTCTGTAGACTTAGTAGGCAGTGGTGAGACTCGGCGTTTCATAAACATTATACATAGAGATGCCAGTGTCTACATCATTCCCAGATCCCACAGACTCCTGCTGTGCTAAGTGGGTCGTTGTCCACCTGGCCAAGGGCTCCTGGGATTAGAGGCAGGAAGTGGGATCTCCAGGCTGCACTGGGTTGTGATGTCACTTTGCAAGAACTGCTTTCCCCCCACCCCCAACAGTCCATCCCATCTTTCAGTACTTAAAAACAGAAAAGATAGGTTTTTACAAACCATTTCAATTTTTAGCACTGATGACTTAGAGAACAGTGATGGAGATAGCTTAGTTTTATATTTCAAAGCCTGCCATTCAGACACTATAGTCTTTTTTGGCCTAGGGCCCATTTCATTATAAGCCTTTAAGTCTGGATAAACTCTAAAAACACATAGACCTTTGTTGACTGTTCACTAATATATATATAAGTAAAATATTTCAGTTTGCACCAGCATAGCTCGTATATTAGTTAATAGGTTATCTGGCATTCAGTATGTATCTGCTCCTCGGAGGGGCAGCTGCCAGTGATGTGTGTGCCTTAACCTTCACACGGTACTCACACCTTGCTGAATGGCAGTTCTTCTGCCTGGTGTCACATAATGTCAGTAGCCCCTTTCTGTCTTTTCCTAGTTTGAGTGCAGCAGGGCCCTGGGAGAGACACTTGCTCTATTCACTTTCTCATCACGTCTACGTTTGGGGGAAAAAAGAGAATCTAAAAAACAGGACCTGGCTTGCTCCTGAAGGAGCAGGAGGCTGCAGTGTTCAGCCCCTGATTTTTTTTTTTTTTTTGGGAGACGGAGTCTCACTCTGTTCCCCAGGCTGGAGTGCAGTGGCACGATCTCAGCTCACTTCAAGCTCTGCCTCCCGGGTTCAGGCCCTTCTCCTGCCTCAGCCTCCTGAGTAACTGGGACTACAGGCGCCCGCCACCTCGCCTGGCTAATTTTCAGCCCCTGATTCTATAGGACGTGCTGCCACATAGATGAGGGAGGAGGTGGAATATAAAAATTAAGCGTTTGGCAAAAACCACAGAAGCCACCTGCAATATAGTGAAGGCTTCAGAGAGGCTTTAGGATGAAAATAGACTGAAAACAAGATTGTTTCTGTGGCCAGGAAAATCTCCGGCTATTCAGGTAACATGATGCCGCGTGATGATGAGTGTGTGTTCAGTCTGTTTATGCTGTTGTTCTGCACAGCACTGTCATCTGCCTTCAGCGTCCCCTTTACCCATTACTCATAGAATGTACGGGAGCCACAGCTGGAGGGCTGCAGCCTTCCAGGAGAAAGTTGAGAAGGCTCAGCCTTGACAAAGACAAAGGTGGCTGGAAAAGAGATGCAGTGTAAGCTCACACAGGAAGATTGCACTTTGAGATCATGAAGTTTAGTTTCAAATAGAGTTCCAATACACAGTAACGCAATAAGAGAGTTGCTGAAATGTCCTCAAAGAAAAGTAGTTCCTTCGTGTTGTTCTCAGTGAATACAGTGCAAAGTAGTAGAGTCAGCTGAATTTAAGATTCCTCTTTATTTCCTGCCTGATAAAACCTCTTGCCTGTTTCTAGGTGGCTTGAAAAAGGAGAGGAGAGAAGGAAGAGGCACGAGAAGAGTCCCACTGAAAGGTTGTGGGCTACAGTGTTGTGAGCTAGGCTAGTGCCGCACTGTGCTGGGGGGCGGGGGGCTCCAGCGGTTCACTTTCTCCTAGGGAGGTTTTCAGATGCAGGACATTTGCTCACTCTTCAATAAGGAGAGTTATTGTTTTTTGTTTGTTTGTTTGTTTGTTTTGTTTTTTAATTCTAGAATGTAAATGTATAAGGATACTAGACGACAGGCAAAATAAAAATAATTGGTTTGGGGCAGTGGGTTTATAGGTAACATTTTTCTTTACTATTGTTTTAAAATTAGATGTAATTTTAAAAATTTCCAAAGCCAAAAAACAGTACAAATTCTTTAAAGGATGTAGATGTTGCCCCCAAGTGTCATCAGACAAATTTAGGAGGCCCTTCCTCCCAAGTAAAGCTTCCTGCGGTCCTTCCTTCAACTCTTCAAGCACATTCCTGCTTTGTGCACCCAAATGATCTCCCGATTTAAGACCTCCCCTGTCTCACAGAAGCTTCTGGGGCTGAGCTTTCTCAGGCCTTGGAGGGATGGACGCTTTGAATGGGAGGAGTGGGGTGAGTGGAGCACCTCTGGCAGCAGGCATTTGGGAGTCTCTGGAGTCTCTGGCAGGAATCAGTCAGCGTAGTCTCCAAAGGTGGCCTTTCTCTGACACTAACTAGCCCTTGCAGGGATCCTACCCGTAACCTGCATCTCATTAACATCATCTCCTTACCAGTGCACTGACCTAGTGAGGAAAGGAACAAAAAGCATTCAGTGACTCCTGCAGTGCTCCGGGGGAAGTTAGAATTGCTTGGCTGGGGCAGAGGCCCCTGGTGATCTGGAGCTGCCCGCCCCCATTTGCCCACCTGCCCTGCACAACCAGTGGCCCTGCCTTGCCAGCCAGACTGTTTTTCAGGCTCCTGCACACCTCCCTGTATTGACACCCTCTTTTCCTTTTATTCAGAGTATTAATCCCCGAGTTCTGACCTAGGAAATTTTCATTAGTTCTTCAAGCAGTCACCTTTCCGTGGGCCTTTTCTTTCCTCTTTGTTCTCGTAACACCCTGGGCATAACTCTACCGAACCAGAACTCCTTGGTGTCTCTGCAGCGTGTGCTTTGTCCTTTGCTCATGGCTTGATCCCCAGAGCCTAACACAGTGCCTGGCGTGTATTAGATGCTCAATGGATGCTCATCAAGTTAAAGTAGAAGGTACTCAGCAGAGTTCTCTTCAGGTGTTGTGAATAGCATTCGGAAAGAACATTTATTTTTTAATTACATTAAATACAAACAGATTTAATAAAATAAATCATATGCCCAGGGCTATGTCTTAATTTTTTTAACATATCAATAAAGAGACTTTAAAACACATACACCACCCCCTCACCTCCAAATTTCCTTTCCTTTCCTTTCCAGGAAAGTCTCCGTTTGGAATCATAGGAAGCACTTACTAAGTTGATTTATTGTGAAAAACCAAGATCCTAATAAATCTCAGAAGATCTGCTGTTAACCTAAAGAGACCACTGATTTGGATTGTGTATTTGGTTGTGCTTACAAAAGTTTCCCAGTAATCGTTCATTTTAATTGGCGTAGATGTGGTACTGTACCTAATTTAAGGCACTCGTCCCTCTGAGAGTAAAGAGATCAAGCTATAGAAAATCACTGGTGTGGCAGGGAAAGCCTTTCCCCAGGATCCCTGCAAAAAAGGTCTTGATTTTTGTTCTGAAAGATGCCCTCAATTTTTGTTCAGCTATAAATGTTCATCTATTGAAAGGAGGTCTAGGAAGTCTTACTGTCTAAACCACTGAAACTTCAGATTTACTTTAGAGTTTTGTTTCTGGAAATGTCATTTCTGTTTAAAAATACATTTTTGTTATAGTATTTTAGATCTTTTTATTTTCTGTAGTGGGAGATTATATGGGTAGACTATATTTTATAAACCAGATGTTTCAGAGGAATATTCTTCAATTGGCCTGCCTTGGTATATGTTACACTTACCCTGAAAAGCTCAGATTTCAAAGACACAGTTCTCTAGTATGTCTTCCCAGCCTCAACAACCAGACTTAAGAAGGAAGTGAAGGATTCATCTTTCCCACTTTCCTGTGGCCACCTTGAGCCATCAGTAGTTGTGATGTTTGTGGAAAGAGTGTGGGCCCTGAGCTGGGTGGGAGAAGCAGGCTGATCTCAGCACTGGCATGGCTTAGGGCTGCACCCATCTCAGCTCACGTGGTTGATTAAGGGTTTTGTGATGGTCACAGAGGATCTTGGGGGCTATCCTAGCCAGCGGGCCTGTAGATCTGTCCTCTCTCCCTGTGCTTTGTTCAGAAACTACAGGGATTCGGTTTCCCATTTGCACAGCAGCACCCAGTCTTTGCTTTTCTGTTTCTTCATGGCTTTTCCATGTTATCATATTAACCATCTTGAGAGGCATCCTGCAAGGTTCTGCCTCTCACCTGCTTTTGCTGTCCTTGATTTGATGAAATTTACAGCTTCTTTCTCTCTTCCATTATCTTTCAGCCAAAAGAAAGAGAGAAAAGAAATACTGACACTTACCTCTAATTATATTTCTTTTTTTTTTTTTTTTTTTTTTTTTTGGAGACGGAGTCTGGCTCTGTCGCCCGGGCTGGAGTGCAGTGGCCGGATCTCGGCTCACTGCAAGCTCCGCCCCCCGGGTTTACGCCATTCTCCTGCCTCAGCCTCCCGAGTAGCTGGGACTACAGGCGCCCGCCGCCTCGCCCGGCTAGTTTTTTTTTGTATTTTTTTAGTAGAGACGGGGTTTCACCGTGTTCGCCAGGATGGTCTCGATCTCCTGACCTCGTGATCCGCCCGTCTCGGCCTCCCAAAGTGCTGGGATTACAGGCTTGAGCCACCGCGCCCGGCCTCTAATTATATTTCTACTCTGAGTTTTAAAATGTTTTGTTCTTATATTATTATTCTAGTTATTAGGTAACTTGCCTTAGTTTAGTCACCCAATAATTAGTTATCGTGGCTCTGTTTTAACCCCAGGACATTTGACTCTTTTTTTCCCCAGCGGCTTCAACTCTATGAGGAAGGGGAGATGGGGCTGGGCTTGCTGCTCAGCCGGTTGCCTTGGCCAGTGCTGCCCTCCCTCTTACCCTGCAGTCTGTATAAAAATTGCATCCATTTGCCAGCCAGTCTAAGAACGAAATATGGCCAGAACTAGAAAGTAACCTTGACAGAGTTCTTTGAACTCCCTCAGAGGGAAAAATGTTCTTTATTCCGTTATCATGTTAAACATCAGTAAACTTGTATTTAACAATGTACTTTTGCAGTTGTACAGCTGTTTTACAGTTTTTAAAGATCTTCGAATTCTATTCCTTATTTCAAAACAGAGGAAACAGGGACACTTTTTTACTTACTCTATCTTGATTTCTGATGCTTTATCTATAAAAATCTTTTAGCTTGACCCGTAAAAACATGTTTTAGTATCTCCTTTAAAACCCAGGAGCATTCCTGGAAAAATAGAATAATAAAACCTTTTTCCCTTTCCCAGTTTAACTTTTGAAGCATGTTTGAATTTTATTTTCAGAGTAAAACATAATTTTAAATGTTTATGTACTTTTATTTGCAGTACTGTCTTGACAACACTATCTGAGATACCAGGCTCTTAAAAATGAAATAAAGTTTGCAATGTGGGGCTATGTCTCCCATCCTCCTGCTCTGTAATGTGTGGAAAAGGCAATGGAATGGTATTGTGTGAGAAACTGGTCTGGTTTAACTTTCTGCATTTCTGTGTTTTCTCAGATATGATTTTTCTTCAGGGAACAGAGGTCATATTTAAAGTGGCTTTAAGTCTGTTGGGAAGCCATAAGCCCTTGATTCTGCAGCATGAAAACCTAGAAACCATAGTTGACTTTATAAAAAACACGCTACCCAACCTGGGCTTGGTACAGATGGAAAAGACCATCAATCAGGTAGGAGTCAGTCCAAACCTTGCAAATGCTTCAGCCATCCTAGATATGTAGAAACTTAAATCTCTCTTAAGCAGGAACTGTTACCTACCACTTTGTGTTCTGAACAGCATTCTGCATCCTGGCACAGAGGAGGCATATCACAAACGTGTGGAATGATCGTGAGTGTGTGTGTTATGAGCATCATGGTGAAACGCCACATGGAAACATGGTAGCAAAGTTCAGTTGTAGAAACCAGCACAGGTTATCAGTAATTTCGTACATTTAAGAGACTTCAACTTTAGTAGCTTGGTCTTCTGAAATATGTATACCTATGCAGTGATGCACTGTAGGGTTTTGTACATTGAGTGCTTTGATTTTTGCGTGTGTGTTGAATGGTATTAATTGGAATTTTCTCAGAATAATTCTTTGATAACAAAGTTATGATAGGGAACATATATTCTGTGAATTTGTTTCATGATGTGTGTGTGTGTGTGGTTTTTTTTAACTGAATTCAGTTCAATATCTGTGGCTTCAGTACCTCCGGTTTCAGTATACAGTAGAACCATTACCCTCTGAATAGAGGCTGAGAGGTGAGTTTTACTGGGAATTACAAGTAAACTAGATGGTGAATGCCCTGGGTTGGGCATGGGAGCAGATTTTGATCCTGTACAGTCTAAGGAAGAACCTTCCAGTAATGGTTGCTGACAATGGAGGACTACACTGCTTAGCAGAGAAAGGGGCATCATTGGAAGTGTCCAGAGGCTGGGTAGCTACAAAAGCACTGGAAGAGATTGCATCATTGAGTCACTGCAGAGTCAGCAGTCAGGCCTCTCATAAACCTGGAACCCGCTCCAGATAGTCATGTGTCAGTAATAGCGATACGTTTTGAGAACTGCATCATTAGTTGATTTCATCATTGTGCAAACATCATAAATTGTACTTAAACCCAAGTGGTATAGCCTACTACACACCTACGCATGTTGTTCCTAGGCCCTACAAACCTGTACAACACATGACCATACTGAATACTGTCGGTAGTTGTAATACAAGGCAGAGTATTTGTGTATCTAAACATAACTAAACATAGAAAAGGTACGATAAAAATACGGTATTCTAATCTTATGGGACCACCATCATATATGATATGTGCAGTTCGCCGTTGACCAAATTGTTGTGATGCAACACACAACTGTATAACGAAAGCATAGAGCAATCAGGTAAAAACAAATGGTGAAATAAAGCTATTTTTGAAAAACCCTTACTCTGGAGATTTCTGATAGTCCAGAAGGAATCCATGATTCCAGTGAATTGCATCCACATGCAGTGTTTGTGATTTTCATTTGCTGCCGCACCTTAGGTGTTAAGCACAGAAAAGGATGCAACTTTGGCCTGCAAAAGAAGAGGTTTCATATCAATTGTTAACTTTGGATTTCTGCTTGCACATTGCATATGCCCTTATGAAAGAGCAGTGCTTTTCTGTTCTGCACTCATCTTTAATTGAGAGCCTCTCCATCTCTTTTCTTTCCCTGGCACATTCTTCTTGATGTGGATAGCTTTGGCTTGTTGGGGCGTTGCTTTTTGCCAGGTTGGGTGGGCATCTAAGTAGACGCACGATCCTATTCAGTCCAGGCTGCACTCCTGAGAGGATATAAAGTGGTTCACTGACTGACCCACACTCACTCTACTGCAAAGTGGAAAGGCAGGGGTTCAAACTCAAGTCTCTCTCACCTCAAAGTGCCGTAGCAGCTCTCCTACACTGCCAAGAGCCTCTGGAGGTCATTTAATTTAGAGTTTTTTCCTAATTCTAATACTGACTTTTCTACCCTTTTGATTCTTTGGTTTCTGACATTTTCATTCATTCTTTCTTTCCTTCATTCCCTTCTTACAGCTTTTGTTGCATGTACTTACATTTTATAGCTTCTAGGGCAGAGACCCCCGAGAGCCTTGGTTACCTAGACTGAGGGCTGTATCCAGTGCTGACATTGTTTACCTCCTGAGTATTCAGCCTCAGAAAAAAATCCCATTCTCTCCTATTTTCTGTAAAAAACAAAAAATAAAACATATTGAGGGTTCTTAGGATACATCAGGTGCTCCTTCGGTGCTGGAAGAGTGGAAATGGACACGGCATGGGAAGAAAACAGCTGTGCGGGTACCTGTTTCAGGCCACTATTTGGCTATTTGGAAGTTGCCATTCATTGTTCCACTGCCTTTTTTTTTTTTTTTTTTTTTGACGGAGTCTTGCTCTGCTGCCCAGGCTGGAATGCGGTAGTGTGATCTCAGCTCACTGCAGTCTCCACCCCCTGGGTTCAAGCATTCTCGTGCCTCAGCTTCCTGAGTAGCTGGGACTATAGGCATGCGGCACCACACTCAGCTAATTTTTGTATTTTTAGTAGAGATGGAGTTTCGCCATGTTGGCCAGGCTGGTCTTGAACTCCTGGCCTCAAGTGATCCGCCCGCCTCGGCCTCCCAAAGTGCTGGGATTACAGGCATGAGCCACTGTGCCTGGTCTCCACTGACTTAATAACTCTGGGACATAGGTATTATAATTCCTATTCTTATAGATGAAGCTGAGCAGAGAGTAACATGCCCGGCCCCTTGTAGAAAGGCAGGGCCTATGGGAGCCAGGGCTGTGAGGTTGGAGCTGAGGTGTTTGAGTCCAGCCGGACTTAAAAGGTGACTTAAGATAGGCTGGCAGACATTTTCCAAAGAAGGCCAGGTAGTATATATTTTAGGCTTCACAGGCCATACCGTCACAACTGCTCACCTCTGTGGCAGCTACTCACCTCAGCCTTCGCAGCACAAAAAATCCATGACTGCATGTAAGGGGATGATGGGTCATGTTGCAATAAACTTTATTTTAAAAACTGTGCAGCATGATAGGCTGGTCCACAGGTGGTGGTTTGCTGAGCGCTGAACTAAAAGAGAAGGTACAGGAATGACAGCAGAGAGCTGTTCTCAGAACCTGATGTGTTGAACATTTTGGGGGTGAGCACAAAAATTTGCATTTGGGGTCCAGGTTTTTATTCTATCAATGGTCCTTATAGAAAGTAGTTCTACCCCCAGGCAACTCTCTGCCCTCTTTCCCTCTGGTGTTTCTATCTGAACTTGACATCTGAATGTTCTCTGTCAGGCTTTCTGCTTTCCCACTGACCCCTTCCCTCCAGAGGGTGCTGTAGTCCTAAGTTCTACACAGAAAGCACACATGGGGTCCCACGTGATTCCTCTGCAGCCTTAGAGATCTCCCAGGCCCGAATCTTGGAGGTTTTCAGAGTAGGTATAATGGATGCTTCCATTGCAGATGGTGGAGCATACTGCCCTGTGTACCGATGAGGTGGGGCAGGGAGTGAGGGCATTTAGGTGGTCCTCTATGATAGCCGTGGTTCCATTTCATTAAATGCCCTCCCTGTATAGAGAGTCTCAGCCTGAGCAACTGGGACACAGCTGGATCCTGGGTGGAAGAGAAGGTGGCCAAGGACAGGACTCTGGAGCTCTGGCTCAATGTGGACAGGCTGAAAGCAGCCAGGGAGGGCAATCCAAAGGTGACAGAGCTCAGGACAGAAGACCAAGGGTGTCGGAAGCCTTTGTGGCAGTGTAGTTACCAAAAACTGTCCATTGAATAAACCATCTACATCTTCTGACCCGAGAAGAAGGGAAACTCTGGGAATAATTAGTAACAAAGGAAAGGAGGTCAGTGTTACATTCTTGTCACAGTGGGTGCTGTGTGGTTGTGAAGCCTCAGCTCAGCTTAAGGAAGAAAAAGAGGAAGGGTGGCTTTGGGAGGCAGGGTAAATAGCCTATTTTCAGCATCCTTTAGGCTCCACTCAGAGCATGGCCTCAGCCCAGCATTGTCATCATATCATGTCAGAGCTTGTTAGAAATGCAGCATCTGGGGCCACACCGCAGACCTGCTGAATCAGAATCTGCATTTCGAGATCCCCAGGGGATTCACATACACAGAAACAGCTGAGAAACCCTGCTGTGGGCAGCTCTGTTAGAAACACGATGAACAAACGAGTCCCTGTTCCAGTTGAGCTTGTAGGTTAGAAACCAGGGTTCCTATGTTCAGAAGACACACCTCAAATCAGAGGCAAAGGTGCCTCTTCTGCCTGTGGGGGAGCCGTCCCTTCTCGGGCAGTTTGCACCATGGAAAAGGAGTAGTTTTGTACAAGGACAACTGGTACCATACCAGGAGGGTGGGGCATGGCAGGGAGAAGTGGTTTACCACTGGCGTTGTTGAAAATTGCTCACATGTGGTGGTAATAACAAGCAGACGGACTTTTAGTGGGTTTTATTGTTTTTGTAATTCACTACAGACAGTGCGCCCCCTTGTTGCTGATACTGGGCCGACTGTTTCCACCCTCCAGCCCTTAGTATGGCAATGGGACCAGCAGATTGGAGGGCAGGGGGTTAGGAAGGCAGAAGCTCTGTGGGGAGTTCTACAAACCATCAGGGTTCATGACTTTATTAATCAGTGTCTGTGGACTGTGAAGAGAAATGCTGAGTCTACAATAGCAGATGAGCCAAGAACATAAACAGACAATTCACCGAAGAGGAGCCATCTAGTAAACAAATATGTGGGAAAATACTTGCCTTCATGTGTAATTTAAACTTATGTAATGCTATACCCTACTAGATCAACAGAGAGACATTTCTTAATGCCCATACCCGGCACCAAGGGTATACTGTATGCAGAACATTAGCCTGTTGCTGATGGCAAAGCACATTGATTAGTGGCTCTTGGGAGGCAATTTGGCGATACATACCCCAAGCCAGTAAAATATTCATACCCTTTGACTCAGTCATCCCATTTCTTGTAATGTATCCTCAGGAAATAATCCAAAATATGAGGGAAGCCATATGTATAAGGATATTATCCTAGATTTGTCATTTATAATAATAGAAACTTGGAACTAGATGTCTAACACTCGATAACTGGATTAATATGATTATGGTATGTTGAGCTGGTAGAATATCATGAAGTGAGTTATATATAGCGACATGAAAAAGCTCTCATTTGATACAATGTTAAGTAAAGGAAAAGTGAGATAGGAAATTTTATGTTGGTTATGTTTAGAACTAGAAAAAACATGCTTTTAGGAAAGATGAAATGCAGCTAGATATAAAAGTTGTATTTGGTAATTTTTCTTTTATTTTTCAAGCTTCCAATAATGTAGCTCTATTAGTAACTTAAAATAGTTTTATCTTTTCGGCAAAACATCGAAAGTATGGGAATAGGTCATTCCTACCTTGGTAAGCAGAAGAGAAATTTTCTTCAGTACCAAAATTCTGGAACTTGCTCGAAAACCTTGAAGAACCTAAGAGCCAGGATGACGGGAAGGCTCTAGATCTCCAGTAATTACGACTCCAGTGGAATTGCTCTGAGATGGGCCAGGCAGAAAGAAGATGAGATCTAGTCCCCCTTGCAGAGGGGCCGGGTACCTTGCAGCTTTGTGTAGTGACCGGTGCTCAGGGAATGGCTTAGGCAAGACCCCGGGGGAGGTTGACACTGCACTTGTCCAGCCTCAGGAGTGACTCAGACCAGAAATGAAAATACCTTAAAGTGTATGTGTCTTGTTTTCCCATCAACACCTAGTTTTTAATATTCGTCTTTTTTATTCATCTGAGACAACATACTGAAGGATCGGGTTTTTAATGTTAGGCCTTCCTGCTCTTTCTCTGGCTGAGAACTGCTCCTGGCAGTGGATCACCTGTGCTCTCTAAGTGTGCAAGGACAGGCGCCCCTCCCATCTTCTTTTATTTCCCCAAGTAACTAGCCCAAGGGCTGAAACCCTTGTTCAGTGACCCGGGTTCTCCTTTGACCAGCAACCTCATATTGCCATGGTTTGGGGTAAATTCAGGGGCATAACTGCAGAATGAAGGGCCTAAGAGTCTTGGCAGTCAGGAGATCATCAGGCAATTAAGCAGAGATGATTGCGACCCAGGGTAGAGATTAATGGAGGCCTGGAAGAGTTTATGGCTTTGGGCACTGCTGAGAGGCATTGACTTAACACAGAACATCAATCTGTAGGAAAAGTCAGAGGTTTTGTTCTAGGCTTTCCAGGTTAGGAGATCACTTAAAAATAAATCTTTATGGAAGAAAAAAAGTAATAGTGTACAGGACATTTATTCAGCACCGTATTTATAATTATACATGAGTGCCAAACAATCTCAGTTTTGATGTTTGTGGTTTTTACTGTTCAGACGATTCAGAAGTTCCATGACATGGCATCCATTGATGGTGGCTTTGCTGAGGTTGAAATGTGAGGGTTAGGGCCGGGCGCGGTGGCTCAAGCCTGTAATCCCAGCATTTTGGGAGGCCGAGACGGGCGGATCACAAGGTCAGGAGATCAAGACCAGCCTGGCTAATACGGTGAAACCCCGTCTCTACTAAAAATTACAAAAAACTAGCCGGGTGAGGTGGCGGGCGCCTGTAGTCCCAGCTACTCGGGAGGCTGAGGCAGGAGAATGGCGTAGACCCGGGAGGCGGAGCTTGCAGTGAGCTGAGATGCGGCCACTGCACTCCAGCCTGGGTGACAGAGCGAGACTCCGTCTCAAAAAAAAAACAAAAAAAAAAGAAATGTGAGGGTTTTGTGGCAAATGCGTGGAAGCAGATCCCGTAGCTAAGAGCACGCCCGCTCAACCTGCCAGGCGTGTGCTGGGAACTTCCATGAGTTGCCTTGTTTAATTCTCATAGCCATCTTGGGAGGTAGGCACTGTCTGCCCCAGGTGGGAGGCCAGGAACTGTGACTGAGAGAGGTTAAGTACTGAGCTCAAGTCATTCATAGAGTCGCCAGTGGAGTCCCAATTTTAAGGCCGACGCAAAGCCTCAGAGCCAGTTACCTCGGCTGTCCAATGGAGATAATAATCCCTGCTGACCTCATAGTCACTCAGAAGGACAAAAGAGAATCAGTTCAATCCAGTAGAAATTCTCTGTCTCCCTCTTACTCCCCTCGCACACATGCACACACATGCCACAGATACAATGGATTTTAGTTTTTAGGCATCAAATGACTTCTGTGCCTTATTAGTATTATCCACTGAATTAAATAAAAAACAGCAAGCTGAAAAATTCATCCCAAGGAAGAGAAAATAAGACTGTTGGGAATGGAGAGAAAGGAAACATAGTTTTTGAACATTGATTCCAGGGAAGATAGGCTAGTTTGAATGCCAATAGGATGCCACGAGAAGTAGTTTTACACTGATTTTTAACAATACTGGAGTTGCTTAAGGAAATGCAATAGAGAGGCAGTTTCTGCCCTTTAAAAGTCTGACTTCACTCTCTGAATGTGTGTTCTGATCTAGCAATTTTTTTTTTTTTTCTTTTAAGATGGTCCCAGCTTGACTGTATTCTCAGATCAGTCAGATAAACGTTGGGGCTTCACTGCTGTGCTGAGAGGCCCCGGCCCCTGGGGTTCTCTCATGGAAACAACTGGAAAGAAAGGAAATGCCTTGGGCAGCGGCAGCAGCAGCTGTCTTCTGACTTTGCTTTCCGCCCTGCCTTCCTCACCAAGAGAAAGTACAGACACGGACAGCTTGAGTCACTTGGGCACTCAGGGGTTGTTTTTCACACGTGTGGTGTTTTCGTCACCATTGCTATTGTGGGAAAGAAGACAACTCAGGCATCGTTTCGTATTCACTCATCTGTGTGGGTGACATTTGGGTTTTGGCTCATTTCTGCATATTTGTGTGCAAAGGAGAGTTTTTTAGTAAACAGTCCCATTACTTTGCTGTTCTTGTAACTCTGAAAACCCAACTGAACTATAATTAAACTTTGACTTGGTGACTGTGCAAACAGGGCTGTGATTCTTTTGTTTCTTTTCTCCTTTTAACCCATAGTTGATTTATCTAACCTAACAGAATTTTCAGAGAAAAGAAATGAAATAAGAACTAAAAATAAATTTTTTAAGTCTTTAAAAATGAGAGGTTTTTTTTTTGACTTTTGGAAGATGAGTATCAAAAACCTGTACTTAATGTTACCTTGGAATTATTTCTAGATGTTTCTTATATCCTTTTGTCCCAAGTAAAAGTATTACTTTCTCAGTGCATAGTTGTTCTTATTTATCACTTCTAGTACCAAGTATAGAGCTAAGCGTAGAGGAGACGCTTCACAGATGCGCATTGTCATGATTGCGGACACCTGCCTGTATGTGTGGGGTTTTTCTCAATAATAGTACCTGATGACTTTTCTTTCTATAACAGGTATTTGAGATGGACATTGCTAAACAGTTACAAGCTTATGAAGTTGAGTACCATGTCCTTCAAGAAGAACTTATCGATTCCTCTCCTCTCAGTGACAACCAAAGAATGGATAAACTAGAGAAAACCAACAGCAGCTTACGCAAACAGAACCTTGACCTCCTTGAACAGTTGCAGGTAGAGCATATTTATAAAGCAGCTTCCTGAATCACAAATATATGGTAGTTCATTAACTCACCAAAGGCAACAGCAGGCTGGGCTTTCCCATGACCAGAGGACCTTTCCCACCCTGATCTGTTTATAGTTGGGATCAAAGGTATCCTGGGAGAATGGGTCCTTTTTATTATGGAGCAGACAGATTGTCCTTTGCTGAGGTCAGACGGTCCCTGAGCTTTCTGAGAGGCTGTTTCTGCACTTAACTCTTTTTGGAGACAGGCCCAGAGATGAACTTGGATTCAGGATGCTGTGACCTGTTAGCTGAATGCCAGCCATTGTCATTACTCAAAGAGAATCTAAGAGCTTTAACTTCTATGAGCAAAATCAGCTAGGTCCACAGAGGGACAGTAAAGGAGGACAGTAACACAGAAATAAACATAACAAACCGGAGCAGATGATAATTCTTTGTGAGTCCTTGGTGCATATACAAAGATTTGATTAATGAAGGTCTCAGTTCTCCCCTCTAGAAACTTCCATTTCGACACGGATACACTCAGGTGAGGACATACAGAAGAAAGTCCAGTTGAGACTGTGCATGCAGGAGGGTGTGCAGAGCAAGCCCTGAGGTGTAGCACGGAGACGGGAGCTGACCAGGTCCAGCATCACCCCCACCCCCACATCACCCAGGCACACTGCTGAAAAGAACGCCTAACTGCGGAATGCAGCTCTTTTGTCAATCAGATGGCATGAAGCAACCATATGTTCTACTTTTTTTAATGTCACAAGTGTGTAGCAGTGCTGTCCCTGTTCAGGAATTGTTTTGAGGGTGTTTTTAAAAGTTGTTTTTGAGTGGCTGTGGATAAAAATACATATTTTTGCCCACATTTTTTATGGTGTTCCTGGGCTGTCCTGAGAATAAGTCCCATTCTGATCTAAGCCTCTGATTTTTCTTCATAGAAAGATGAGCTTTGCAGACACGAGCTTGGCAGCAGGGTGAGAAAGGCCAGCCTAGTGAGTCAAGCTGTCTGAAATGCATTCCTTCCAGCAGGCATTCCATCCCAGCATACCCGATCAGATATGTGAAAGAGAGGAACAAGACTGAATGCTATTCCTGCCCAGCCCTAATAACTACTCACATTCTGAAATTTAACTTCTTCTTTTCCCCTAAGATAGAGATGTCCTAACTGAAAATATGCCTGTATACAATTTAACTGGAAGTCTCAGCTGTGACTCAAGGGGAGTCTCCAGAGGATGAAGAGCCGCTCTGGCCTGTAGGGGTACACAGTATAGGTGGTCATTTTAAATGGCTTCTAAGCCAATGACAGGTCCCTGAAATATAACATGGTGGAAACTCTTCTAATAAGGCTCACATTTGCATTGAAGTGTTTAGCTTGTTAAGATAGGCAGTTCTTACATAAAAGGTTTGTTTTATTGGGTAAATGACCATGTAGTTTTTTGGTGACAGAGCATAGAAAATAATTCCATGCTGCTCTTGTGCTATTGTTTTTGTGAAGACAGGGAGCTGTGAAAAACTTCTTAGCTACCTACATTCCTCACTAAAGGCATCAGACCAGTAATTGGTGATTACAGATGTTCGCCCTGGAATGGTCGTTCTCTTGACCAAGTAGTTCTGCACTTCTGAAAGGATCATTCAAAACTGTGGTCTATGCCAACCCACCAGTAGTTCCTGAGTCCCTGCAGTGCTGAGTGCTGGGGACCACCAAGTTGAGTAAGACACTGCAGCTCTCAAAGAGTTGGATCTAGGATTGTATTGTATTGATTTGTGGTTTTTGGATATAGTTTTTCCATGATCCTCTATGAAAATATGCCTCTCATATGTGAGAATCATGCCTCCTCCTTGTACACTTTTCAGACACAGACAAGGAAAGGTGTTCAATACAGTACTGAATTTTCATATAGCTTTTCTGGGGAGACGAAATACCAAAATCAACCCATTTCCTACCTTTATTCTGTTCATAAAATTGTTAGAAGTATCAAAATCCCATTTCGTTCCCTGTTAAACACATGTGAACGTTGTCTAGACTCTGGAGAGCAAATTCTGCCACCTGTTTTGTTCAGCAGTATATCAGACGATTGCATAGACGTGCCAGATGGAACCAAACAATAATGCACATGGATTTGTCATAATCCCTACAAGTCATTGACGCCCACACTGAGCCAGGTGCTGTGGGAGACAGGACCATGTGTGAAAGAGAAGACGTGCTTGCTTCTATAAAAGCATCAGTGTTATTGAGGAGACCTGGCATTAATGCAGAATAGCAAATGACCATGCAAATTAATTCACTACTAACTAAGCTGCAGGTTGCACCTCGGAATGCAGAGGGGCTTCAAAGTGATGAGGGTAGGCCCTGAGCCAGGCCCTGACGATGGGTGGATTTTGAGGATCAGAGAGTACTGCTTAAAGAGATACCTGAAGCGGGGCCACCCCCTGCCCAGTAGGCTGACAAACTAAGGCTCTTGGTCCCTTTTTTATATTTTGAGTGTTCTAGTGGCCCAGCCAGAGCTAGACTTTTAGTCATGAATTGTCTGGCACAAGTGTCACATTCAAAAAAAGTATTTTCTTTGAAAAATGAAAAAAGAAAAAAAATATATATATATATATATACACACACACACCATTTTTCCCACCTAAAATGGAACATGGCAAATCTGGACTGGATTAGTAAGATACAACAAGTCACAGAGCACTCCAGGATGCAGCTGTGAGCTGGGAACGGGCCAGAAAGGCCTCAGGGACATCAACATAAGTGTTGGAGTTTCTGCAGTTTTCTTAGGGAACCCCTTAATGTCACTAGAGCTAACACACTTGTCACCTGGGAAGCAAGCCTGCCCGAGCAAATGAGACGAGGGACAGTTGCTAGAAAGATACACCTGGAAATTCTATTTAACTAGCATTAATTATGTGCTAGGTGCTGAGGATGTAAACTGAGTCAGAGCCTCGTTCCTCCTCTGTAGGGTGGAAGAGAGGATACTGCTTATCTCTGAGACTCGTAGTGAGCAGTCAGTGAGACCAGGCACATAAACCTCTTAGCAGAACACTTGGCCTTTCCAAGGACTCCATGTGTGTTCCGGGGTAAATGCCTGTGTTTCTTGACATAGTGATGTCTTGTTCCTCTAGACATCACTAGCTTTACACAGTAGCTTTAGATGGCATGGACCTGAATAAATTGTTTTCTTGTTGGTTCCTTTTTGAGTATCACTGTGTTTGAAAAGAATTTCAGATTCGAGGATTGTTACTACTTGGGCCTTCACGAGGAAACCGTTTTGAGTTTTTGTCAGTCTGAAATCGATTTGTGGGTTTAAATATATGTGCTCATCAAAACAGGCCAGGCTCTGCTGCAGTAACAAAGTTACGTATCTCGGAGGCTTGGCACAGGGGAAGTCTTTGTGTCGCTGAAGCTTTCTTTGGCCCCATCCGAGCTGTCTTTCCGGTGGTGGTGCCTGGGGGTTTGGGTTCCCTCTGTGTCATGATCCACCATCTCTCAGCATCGGCTTCCACAGCAGCTATAGCAGGAGAAGAAAATGCCGGGGGCTCTCGGGGTGCTTTTAAGGGCCTGGTTCACCTACCCGCAAAGAGTGCAAATTGCCTTCCTGTGTGGCCAGAACTGATGATAAACTGTAGACTCATCCCTGCCGAAACACGGCTCCAGAGTGCTCCCAAGGCTGGACTGCGAGTGCATGCTGGATCCCTCCTGTGTTATCACTGGCAATTGTATTCTCATTTTTTTTATTCTCCAGGTGGCAAATGGTAGGATCCAAAGCCTTGAGGCCACCATTGAGAAGCTCCTGAGCAGCGAGAGCAAGCTGAAGCAGGCCATGCTTACCTTAGAGCTGGAGCGGTCTGCCCTGCTGCAGACGGTGGAGGAGCTGCGGCGTGGGAGCGCATCACCCAGCGACCTCCAAGAGCCTGAGTGCACGCAGCCCGAGCCCACGGGCGACTGACAGCTCTGCAGGAGAGATTGCAACACCATCCCACACTGTCCAGGCCTTAACTGAGAGGTTCGGAAGACGCTGGAGGGAGAGAAGGAAGCGGAAAGTGTGCTTCTCAGGGAGGAAACCAGCTTGTCAGCAAGTAGATTCTTACGAACTCCCACTTGCAATTCAGGGGACATGTCCCAGTGTTTTTGTTGTTGTTTTTAGATACTAAATCGTCCCTTCTCCAGTCCTGATTACTGTACACAGTAGCTTTAGATGGCGTGGACGTGAATAAATGCAACTTATATTTTCTTGTTGGTTCCTTTTTCAGTATCACTGTGTTTGTAAAGAGCATTCACAATACTGTGGAATTTCAAAAGCTGGAAGAGCTCGAGATCATTCCTCAGGCAGACGCGTGGGTCCATCCTTCTTCCAAGAGGGTTTGTGTGACAACTACACCCTCTGTCACTGGCAAGGTGCAGTTGGCTCTCGCCCATTCTTGTTATGGAAACCTAAGATGATCATTGGGAAGAATGGAAAGTGATTTATTTAATTTGGATATCCTGATCACTGTCAAGTGAAATTGATCTCTCTGGTATTTAAGACGGTTTGTCTTTAAAAAAATACAGAATGTTTTCATACATTTTTGCTTATCCCATAAGTACAGTTGATCAAAGTCAGAGTAGGCAAATGCTTATGGGACAGTTGACACCTTTTAGACCCTACCAGGTATTGCTAGTATGTGAGCTGCAGTTGTGGGGTCTGAGATATTTCTTTGTGGTAGTTTCATACCCATGCTATAGAGTCATGTATTTATTTTTGCCTGTTGTGTGATGTAATGCAATCATGTTCCTTTGAGTCTCCATCCCTTGGAAATCTGATTTCTTGCAGAAGGAGCAGGCACATCAAGATATTCAGGGGTGCCCCAAGAGTCTGGGATTTTCAAAAAAAAAGATCAGGCTGAAGCTGCAATCAGATTTATGACAGCTGACAGTTTTTCAGAGGTCGCACACAGTGACTCTCCTCTCTCAGGATGACGAGGATCTGTGCCTTCAACAAGCAAAATGCTGCTCACGGTTGTCCTGCTTGCAGCCAGTCACTGTGTAAAGCCTCTCTGATGTGCATTTAAGAGTGGTTTGCTTTCTTACAAAGATGGGGTTCTGTGTAGTCACAGGCCACTTCCTTGACAACACCATCATTTCTGATCTTTATTACTGTAACCACTTCTTCTATTCCATAGGAGTTTCTTTTGATTCTCTCAGTTGTTGTGGGGGTGTCTCTTAATCCTGGGGTAAAAGGAGAGTTTGCCATACTTAGACTCATTATGAGTCTCCCCTGCCATTTCACGAGGAGACCACAGTGCTGCCCCCAGTGCCTAAACAGGTGGCTGGCGTTCAAGACTTCCTCTTGTTCCTGGGTCAGAGGAGAGCGGTTTCCATCATAAACCAAGATGATGAGTTCAGCCTTTATCCCTAGTGGTTCCACTAGATGTAACTTAAAGGAGTGAACATTCGAGGACTTTGTTCTACATCAGATTTTACTATTTGAATGTTTACTGTTGGATTTTGGACATCTTATTACTGTTACTCAAAAACATTGACTCTGCATCAAGTAAGAAACACGAAAGCAATAAAACAAGAAATAATTCATGCCCACATTTTTATGGTGGTTTTTTTTTTTTTTTTTTAACTTTGGATTTTTGCTTTTCAGCCTGGGAGTAAAGGAATGCCTTATGAACACCTGTGGCCTATGTGTGGTCATTACCCAACCATCAGTGAGATTATTTGAGGTATTGGTGTCTGCTTCCAGTATTGTTATCTGAGTGTTAATTATGTAAGTTGTAACATCTCTACCCAGGGTGTGAGTTTAGCACTGATGAGACCAGCTCCATCAGTGGTATGTGGCAATGAGTGCTGTTACGAGATTGTGTTGGGCAGAAAGGACTGTTGACATGAGCCTGTGGATGTAGATTGGACAGTCTCAGCTTGTGACTTACTAGGCAAGGTGCAGAGAGGCAACTGTGTGAGGATTCTCAGAGCCAAATTTGTAAACCATGTTTTGTGTTGTATTTCCCCCAAAACTCATTTGTACACTTGCTGGTGTCAATCTTTTGATGCCATTTATGCCTCTTAAGACATTTTGAGGCCTCAAGAAGTGTACTATTACCTGGAACAGGATGAGACTCTCTTCAGCTTGCACACTCGGTTCCCTCTCAGGGGTGGCCTATAGATAGAACAATGACATCCATTTGGAGGTTTGTGTGTCTGGTTTGGTAAACGGGAGAAGAGTTGCTCCAAGTGCCATGGGATACCAAATTTTGTTACAGAATTAGATCAATCTCAACTGTGTGAAGTGCTGGAGAAGTGAAGATTCAGAAGGCGTGTGAATCAGGCTAAGTCACCAGGTCGTCTTTTGGAAGCAAAGCACAAGGCCACTGCAGAAGTGGGCCTGGGCAGGTGACATGGCGGGGGCTCTGTGACCACCTCCATGGGTCTGCAGCCAGGTATTTAGTGGTGTGCCGGGGCCACCCTAGTCAACACTCAGGAAGAAGAGCTGGAGGTGAAGCAGAAGGGAATGAGGACAAGCTGGAACTGGCCAGGCACCTTCGTGTCTGTCTCGTTGCTACACCATATTGAACAATGGTTATCTCAGAGAAAAATGGTACTTGTTTCACTTTGGCCCTCCAGATCTCATGCCAGCATGTCTTAGAGCCAATTCTAATTCAGGGGAATTAGGGAAGGGGACTCTGGAAAACACAGTTCTGGATTAACCACGTTAACATAGTATAAGCCACCATGGTTAATTTTGGAACCTGCCTACTTTGAATGACAGCATGCATGTTTGAGTCTTTTTATAGAGGCCCTTCGTCTAAGTATGTACAATTAGTGATCCATAAAGTTCGGACTCAGATTGACATTGGCATTGAGAGTCACTGATGGTGCACCATTAGAGATGACAAACTTCAGAGACCACTTCTGGCTTCTGGGACTGCCTCCCAGCTTTCATCTGCCCTGCTCTGCCAGCTGTAGGAAGAGCTGACTCTGATTACTATTTAATCCTACTAATTAAAATCCAGAAACTATGTGGGACAATAATTTATAAGCCACATTGTCGTAAATGTAAACTCTGCTTTAAGGATTTGGCATCGCTCAAAATAATTCTAGACTGGGAAAGCTGGAGGGAGCTTCTCTTCATACTGGAAAGTCACCTCCCACCTCATTTTGTACAGGAAAATGCTTAGTGAGGTGTAGAGAGTTTCAGAATCACCTGATGGTTGGTTACAGGATCAGAGTAGATCCCTAGCCTTCTGGCTGCCTAATAGTGGGCAGCACCCAGCTTTACTTCCGGTGAGTTTTGGGAACCATTTCTGATGACATCAATTTACAAAGCAAAGAGATGTTTGCTTCATTTTCGCAAAGCTGACCTATATTGTAAAAAGCCCAAATCAGTTTCTCTCCTGAAATTCCTCCAGCAGCTTTAATTGATAGGGAGTTAAAACTGGGAGGCTCTCCAGTGAGTGACCCCTACGTGTGGACCCAGAGGCGGAGAAATTCTATTGCAACAGGATTTGACATGATTAGATATAATGTTTGTTCTTGACAACTATTTCCTTTTTACCTTTGGACTTTTGAAAACCTTTGCATTATAATGTTTTTAGAAGAAACAAATCAACACAGAATTACCTTTGGTTTTATAAAAGAGAAACTCCATTATGTAAACTATTTTGCTGCCATCTCTAGAAATGATTAAAATGATCAGGGAAATTCAAGAGTTATATGGTATGGAGCAGCCACAACAGTTATTTGGATAATTTGAAATTGATAACAAAATATTTAAAAGATTGTTCTTAGTGTTTAGGCTTCATAGATATCTCTCTTAATATCTGTAAAAATAACCATATAACTGTCTTAGTTGTAAACCTTAGTAGTAAAGTGTTTAGATTTCTACCATGAGATGTATGTTTATTAATAAATTTTGTGCATGAGTAAATTGTATTCTAGAAGTTTTGAATGAGGTTAAAATACAATGTTTAAAAATATTAATGATAAAATTCCTATTCAGTATTTTTAAGAATAATGAGCATTTCATTACTGTAAATGCTTTAAAACTGTGATTAGTAATTCAGATGTCAGTTACAAGTTCAGCTTAGTTTTATGGTTGCTTTTAATGCACTGACTTTCAAAATTTAGTAACTCTAAATGGAAGAAGAACACAACTAGTCACATTAAGTCATAATTACTTATTCTTTTTTCTTCATCAGTTATGCAAAGGTTTTTGTGGAAATCTGAGTAATGAATTTCCATCTTCTCTCACGGCAGATGACACAAATGTATAAAGGGTTTTATACTTTTTAACCGAAGACTTTAAAACACCGAAACCCTTCATTTGGAAAGTTTTGAACAAATTATAAAAGCAGTTTCCAGAATTGTTTGAGTAACACCCTCACATGATTTTTGGCCAAAACATGACCTAACCCATAGAAACACTTCCAAACCCTTTTCTGAAAAGCACTTTCTAGCACTTCCTCCATCATCTTTTCCTGGGCCCACCCCGCTTGGAGCCTCTGTTCTGAATAATCATGGTAGGGACAGAGGTAGCAAGTTCTAGTCTAAGGCCTTTGGCCACATGGCTACCTGCTCACCTGCATGGTCCTGTTGTAGACACCATCTCGCGCCCAGCCCTTCCCTGCAGTGCCACCGAAGACTCGTGGTTCTGAGCCTGCAAAGTGCTTGGCTGAGAAGACAGAGAGGAACTGAACAGTGTGTGTGAAGAATGGAGGCTGTGAATCACTCCTTGTGAATCACGGCATTTTATTACTGCAGTGCCCTTTCCTTAGACCCACTGAAGACAGCCTGGACAACCTGGCATGGCCAAGGGGTGGGGGGACAGCTTTGTTACATCCTTTTTCCCAGTCATTTGCCTGCTTTCCTCACTCTTCTGACTACATCTTCCTGCCCTTGTTTTTCTTATTCCATATTTGGATCGATGTTGACCAATTTGGGGTGTCTCCTTTCTGCTCTTCCAGAAATCTTTTCTTTCTAAACCCTGTAACTATATTTCTAATCTCTTCCAACTGTTGGAAGAGGTGACTCTGATTACTGTTAAACTTGGGCTTTGGCTCTCAGCACCCTACAGGGTGACCTCCTGAGGTGCCATCTTGGGGAAACTGTGCAGATGGTGAAGTAGCACATTAGGGAAATAGAGGCAAGTTTGCATGCGGGTCCGCTTAATGATACCGAATGCCTATCTCTGCTTGGTACTTCTTACCAAGGAGGGCATAATCTATTTCCTTTCTTTGAAATAAGTGACTATCAAATTTACTCCTAAATTTCATATGCTCAAGTCATCTAAATGGGTTGGTTATTAGAAAGGATATTAGCTTTTTCACTCTGGATCTGTCTCTCTTCACTATAGCTGTACTGTCTTTGCACAGTGTGGTTTCACCTGCCTGCCTCTCCATATCCAGCTCAGTGAGCATGACGTCTCCCCTGCTTTCACTCTCCAGCCCTCAACTATGTACCAAGCCTTGTTCTAGGTCCTGAGACGACAAAGTAAGTATCTGCCATCGTTGCACTTTTATTCTAGTGAGGGAGATAGGTAATTGGAATAAGTAAACAAAAAATCAATCATGAGGTGGGGGCTGCCTACCTAGAATGTTCAGAGAAGACTCAGCTGAGGAGCTGGTATTCAAGTGAGACTGGGAAGGAACCAGCTAACAGAGGAGTTGGGTGAGAGTATTCTGGGTGACTTAATATTAGAAGGTGGAAGAGTCCCTTCCAAATGACAAATGATTCTATCCTAGCTTTGAGTCTTGAGCCAAGACCTTAAAAAAAACCCAAACCCACTGCTGTGGTCTGAATGTTGATGTTGCCCCATCCCCCCTCAATTCATGTGTTCAAATATAATATCCAATGTGATGGAATTAAGAGGCAAGGCATTTGGGAAATGATTAAGTCATGAGGGCTCTACACTCATGAATGGGATCAGTGCACTTAGAAGCTGGAGGGAGCTACCTTGCCCTTCTACCATGTGAAGACACAGCAAGAAGGTGCCATCTTTCTATGAGGAACAGTCCCTCACCAGGCACCACATCTGCTGGTGCCTCGATTTTGGACTTCCCAGCTTCCAGAAGTGTTGTTTATAAATTATCCAGTCTGAGTAGCCCAAACAAACTAACCCACTCAGCACCCACTTAACACCATGTCTCTTTCAGATGGCAAGAAAATACCAATATTTTCAAGATAAATGTTCCATTACTGTATAGTCCAATAAGTATAAATGATAAATTCTTGGCTTGATCCACTGACAGTTTTAATGGACACAAGGGAATCTGCTATTCTTAACTTAGCATTAAACTGCAAGGAAGAATGAGTTGGTGAAATGGACATTGTAGTGGGCACCCGGCAGGGGGTGACCTTGTTATCTCAGTTTATGATGATGTCCCCTGCAGATCTGACAGCCAGTGGACACAGCCCTGTCAACTTCCTGCCGTTATCATCTGCAAAGGGAAACTGGGCATTGGGAAGACATTCCTTAAGGTTGAGGAAAAAATTAGGTGTGATTTCATGGCATGAGAGCCTAAAAGAGACTTTGTGAAATTCTACAAAAGTAAATCCTGACTGTTCAAATTGCATTCCAGGGTACTCAGAAAATC